CACTTTCTCTCCATACTTCCTCATATTTACATTCCTATAAATGGAGGTTTGACCGGCGTCGTGTAAAACATGAATTCTCACAGGAAAACGATAACATCCGTTATTCTAACAACCGAACACTTCTACTGACGGATCCGTGAAGTATGCTAGAAATCGCATCTGTGGCATCTGTGACCGCGCGAGTACCGTATTTTCCAAGGTTTGCCATCGTAGGTGTCCGAGAACTGCCCATCCCTCTTTAGTATGCGCGTTGTTCGTAGGCCAGACTTCAGCTTTGATTTTACTAGTTAAAGATGTAGTCTAACACAAGATTCCGCTTGTATGTTTCCAAATGTTGCTGATACAACACGTTGTAGTTTTAGTTCCTGTTTGGCGCCAGGGTACAATCTGATCAAAAGCGATTTCTGAGTATTAGGTAGAAACATAGTCATGGAAATCACAATGGGTTTGATTTGGTTTCTCTGAGTGACGAGGTTCACTACTCTCCCGGCAAGGGCACAGTTGCGAATTGTGAAAACTTGGTTTCTGAGGCGGAAAATTATAGCAGCATCTATCTCACTCTCTTTTCCAGCACCTAGCATGCAATAACAAGACTAAGCCAAAACTTCTGCGGGTGGACATCGGTGCCGTAACTGCCAGAGCTAATTGTCCCGTCTGCGCGTATCACACACGATCCAAGGATAACTTGTTATTTTAATAAATCATAAATGGAATCGTAACGGCAATGTGAACGGTCACAATATCCAGAATCCAACTGAACCACAGCTGACTTGGTCTTTCCACATCAAATCATGACAATACTGTGTTTTTTTTCGGTCAAATTGTTTCGAGGATTCCTTCCTGTATGATTGGATAATAATAGAGCATGACATGTTATCTGCTAAAGGACGAAACTTTTGCGACATTTGCGCCAATTGGCAGCTCACCGCTTCAGTCCAAGTCCAGCAACGCTATGTGCGGCCGTCTTCAGCCTTTTGCTGTAAAGGTCTTCACATCGTCTTACCGACATAATCCCAACTCGACTCAGGCACATTTCGGAAATAGATAAGGAATAGTGAGAGCTGGACGCCCTTACTTTGCCCTGTCATCAGAACTGAGCATTGAACTCCAATCCCATGGGACTTTTGTTAGGCTATGTTATAATCGGTAGTAAAGGCCGACGTAAGGTCGTTGGTTGTAGGTTTGTGGCATGCGTTAGTGATTTCGCATGATAACAGGCACCAGGCTTAGACTCGTCCAGTCCGCTTGATGACAACAGGCCACTTGTGTGTAGGAGAGACAGAGCCATTTACCTCGCTTCCAGCACTCGCTTTTCCACTTCAAGCAGATCAATGCGTTATCAAATTAACAGGACGCGTTGAAACTTTTGGCTTGGAAAGCAGCCGACCGACAGGATAACTCTCCCCGCCCCTGCAACTATGGTTCGACTGCAATGCCTCATTAATGTCGCTTTTATGGCACCCTTCACTTCTACTAAACCCGAGACGGCCTCACTGAAGCCTAGTATGCGATCAGTTGGTGAGTGACTTGTACATGGCGGTCGCATGCTATGCCGACGCCTGTCTCCCATCCTCATGACCTTCCGGAACACGTTGGTCATGCGAATAGACGCCGCAAATGTCTGCCTCACCGTCAACCATTTCGCGTTTAGATCACTACCACTGCCTCCTATTCAGGACGGTGTCGTCCCCACCGCTCGAGATGGGTGAACCTCCGAATAGAGGTCAGTCATCAATGGCGGCGAAAGGCGACGACATCTAAATAGACCTGTATTACCGTTCAAACTGGGCTCGCACCAAAACAGTCGGGGATCTAGTTGAGCCCTAGCCTCGGGCCCTACAAACCGGCATACGGATACGCGCTCCCTCTACTTTGCATTATGTTCGTAATATCTGATAGTGTGAACCCAGTTCCGGCCGAAGATTCGCGCGGTTGGGCACCTACAGTACCTACTGTCTTTTAATTGCCTCGGTTGATGAGCTGTCATGCAAATACCACTGTGAGGACCGATAAAAAGATTGTTCAAGTCTTACATCGTTCCTTATTTCACGATCTTTTAAATAAGTGTTGGGTTCACTTATTGCCTTTTCTCTAACTGTTGTCAATGAGAACAGTGCTATCTAGTTTACTTGAGTATTTTTGATCGCGTTAGAGTATTCCCATCTTTCATATCTTGTGGATCTTGTCCTCATGTTGTAGGGCAGCCAAATTATTTGGCTCTCTTGCTGCAATGTCTAAGTCTCTGTGTAAGGCCCTTCGACATGGTAGTCCGACCTTCTAAAGTAATTTTTGGATGGTAGTTTAAGACCCACACAGATCTTTCTCTCCATGTTGGCGTTTTTAGTTATAGCTCCTGAACCTGTTCCGGCAAAAAAGTGTCCTGCAGATAGGAAGAGCCGCCCAAATTCAACAGAAGTGGTCGACACGGAGGCTGTCAAGGATCATCAGACACGCAAAAAGTCCCCAATAATCGTCCAACAAGAATAGTATTTCATCCCCGTAGATGAAGGGATTAATACAGATGGAAGGAGAACTGCTTACTGTCTGACGCCAACGACTCAGGTCTATAGCAATGTTTGAGCGAGTTTGTTGGGCCTCCGCGGAGCAACCTCTGGTGGTAGTGAGAGGTTGGTTGAATGTCCAAGAGGTGTAATGCTGGGCAAAGCAAAAAGAGGAACAGGGGCTGTCCGCTGAGTTCGTTAATTGCGGCTTTTAGGACGATTTGTTGTAGTACTTCAGAACCCACTCACACCTCTTTCCCCATATTAAATTGTTTAATATTGTTTCGTCCGGTTACACAGTCGTAGGATAGTGGTTAATGCGGAAGTTGTCTTCAGATCTCTATGAGATTTTTTAACGATGCCTTTCAACTTAACTGTGCCTTTGTGCCTTGAAAGCATTTTTAAACACACCGTAACCAGCTAGCTACATTTGCCATTAATCGTCTTTTCCGATTTCTGTTCGGTTTTGTAAACGAAACAGAATTTTTGCGCTCCTAAACCTTGTTTACCCGTGCACAACACTTTATTCTTCTAGATCCCTGAGCCCCAGCGTCCCCTTTCCGCCTTCTAACCGCCTACTCGCTTTACGAGGTCTTCGCAAAGGTTCACCTGTTATACAGCGAGCCCAATCCACGGTGTCAAGGTCATGGAGGTAGTCAAAATTCTCTCTTGTGTCGAAGATTCGCACCCTTTCCTGTCTTTCGCATGTATCTCTGCCCAGTCAGCGCCTCTATCAAATGCCACGAAATGGTCATGTCTGTGTCGGCAGTTGGCCGTTCTCATTTTTTTCACTTTTCACCTGGTACATTTCATTGATTGCATTCTTTACACAATCAGCATACCTCGGTTATTTGAGGTTTCAGATATGTCGCCGTACTTCGAATTTAGGTTTCTTGTGATTCAATGTAACCACTTGTTTTCGAGGGAACTCGTGGTAACCTGCATGTCTTTTGAATGTGTCGGTCTTTGCAGCGCAACCAATAGTGCCCTACACTGTGACTTTAAAATAACACGGTGCGCTAGACATTCAATCGGCAGAATCAACCGTGGGTGCATCATAATTTCGGACCTCAAACTGCCTATAAAATCGTGTGCAGCGGTGGCTGAGCATAAGCAGATGTCACTACCGGCCCGACTTTCATTTCTTATGCTCAGCGGATTTCAAATGTGTGAAACCAAGATCCTCCGCCAATATAATTTCTAGCAAGCGGCAAAAAGCGGACTTTCGAGGAGGTGGGGACTTATATGCGTCCATGCAGCTCAGATGCTAGGCTGTTTGGAAACAGCCTGCATGCGGAGGCCGACGTGGGTGCGAAAAGTTCGATTTTATCATCGATATGGCGTTACCATGACAGTTGTTTACTTTTCTCAACACTATTGAATTTTATCTTGTCTTAGTACACTTTGCTTTTTTAAATATTAGTGCTGACCAGAGTAACAAAAGTGCCCCTGTTCTCTGTTGGCTTTGAATAGCATTAATGGACTTGGTTTTTGCACCGGAGCTAGTAATTTGACAGTAAAGTGTCCATAAGGTCGTCCCTTGATAGAAGACGTTTTGCAAGAATATTTCTGTTCAGAAGGGATTTTATGAAATAATTGTCTAGTAGTCATGTACTAGTAGCAGGTAGGCTCAGGTAAATTTTACTGTTCCTCACCATCGACACGCCCTGACTGTTTAGTGCTACAAAGAATGATTTGCTTACCTAGTCTGGGATTAAGATCGTCATTTTCAGGACGTTGACATACACCATGTGTAAAATGGACCATCAAGTCTACAACGCTGCAGAACATACAATAGCGGAGTTCTCCCTCGCCTCAGTAGATGAGGAGTTGTCGTTTGGCTATGGTGTGGACTTCGATTCATCGGTGGTAAAGTGACTGGCTGGAGTTTAATACGTCATTCTCTGCGCGACTGAGCAAGTACGTTTCGCTTCTCTGCAGCACACTTCACTCAGTTGTCAAGTTTTTTGCCTCCTTGGTATGCGGGATAAACTCCCTGACGCGACATGAAATTCTTGATTTACCATTTTAGTGGGTTAGAATTCCCGCGGGGGGGGGGGTTCAGTCTCATCTGGTCACTATTCGTAAGGAAAAGTCAGGATAAAGGTCATGTAATAAGTTCACTGTATTTACCACCGTTTCCTCCCTCTTAAAACACTGGTTTTCGTGCAAAGATGAACACGCAATCACCTGGACAGTCTGAGCTTTTGGTCTCGTACAGGAGGCCATCATGAGAGACTGCGGCGTCAAGTGAGGAGTTTTGTAGTTAAACAAAAAAGGGGAGAATAGGAGTGGAGGGGTGGTGTTCGCGATAAGGCTGAGTCCACGCCATCTCATGGCGGCTTGACTGCGCGCACTAGGGAATTGAGTCTCGCCTCTTGGCCTCGAGGACGGAGCGCGTGATAGTAGGGGTTATATCAATGTTTCTGTTTCTGAAGTTTGCGTCAGATACCCAGGCCTCCAGGGGTTCTCGCCCTATCTTATTGTTGGCTCACGCCATTATCCGCGTGCTCGCGAAGTTGGATTCGTGGCCTTCCTCCAGGGTGTGAGTAACGACCTGAGACAGTGGGTCGCCTCTTCGGACGGCTTGTCCGTTATTCGCAAGCTGAGCCGTCGTCCAGTCTGTCCCGTATAATGGCGAAGACAGTCACGGCATGGGATCTGATAAACGATACCAGATTGTTCTCCTGCGTCTAGTCGCTCTTTCATTTGCATGATTTCGGTGCACATGGTTGCGGTCGGACAGTGAACGATACTCACGCCGGGCTCTGCAGCGATACGTTCCATTGCCTCATACGTTTTTTTATATACGGCAGGGGGCGCCGGAGTGTTGGTGGCTCTCCTCCGTTTGGTTGCCGTGGGTGAGTACGGAGGCAACGGCTGGCGAAGTTGTTTGGGTTTGTTCCTTACCAGTTGGTCCCGAAGATGCCGTAGTTCTCGTACTCGTCCCTCCGGTTCACTGCAATGCGTTTTTACCCTTTGGAAGAGTGCCCTAACACAGCCGCGTTTATGCGCCATCTGGTGGTAGTTAAGGACTTGAGCCATGTTAATCTCGTTACTATACACCGTGGTGCTGAATTCTCCATTCGGCCTGCGTGCGACGGGGACGTCAAGGAAAGGCAACTGTTCGGCATGCTCGTCATCCTTTGTGAACTGCATGTTTTGAAAGATGCTGTTAAGCAGGTCTTGAAAGTCTGCTAGTCTGCCCATTTCAATTATAAAAAACGTGTCGTCTACGTATCGACGCCAAAATGCTGGTTCATAATGGTTGAAGGCGACTTCTTCCAGCTCCTTTAAGACGAGTTCCGCAACCAGTCTGAATATTGGCGAATTCATCGGCGTCCCCTTGATTTGCTCGTATGTTCTGTCGTTGAAGGTGAAAAAGGTTTGTTGGCATTTGCGTAGAGCATCCCGTGCCAGGTCTTGTGGGATGGAAGTGAATGATGAAACCACACCAATGGATATCATAATTTGATCAAGTCGGACACTTCTTTCTCTGATGCCGGCCACGGATTGGGAGGCCGAATTGATGGAGGTCCTCGAAACCTCTCGGAGGAAGTTAAGTTTTGTGGGCCATCCATTTTGGTAGATTTTAAGTGGGTTCGCCTTTCAAGGCAAAGATCGGTCGAAGGGGAACATTGGGCTTGTGGATTTTGGGCAAGCCATAAAACCGAGCCAGTGTTGTATCCGTTGGTTTTATCTATCGCCATTCGTCTAGCGATAGCACACCGTCGCACCTGAATCGGTTCAAGAGTTCGGTTAGTTGACTGATCATCGATCTGACCCGCGAGGAAGGCGTAGATCTGTAGGACTGTTGATCGTCGAGGAGGGATTATGCCTTTTCGTTGTAGTCGATGCGGGTCATCACGACGGTGGCTCTTCCTTTGTCGGTTGGCAGCGCTATTATATCCTTGTCCATCTTTAATTTCTTCATTGCTTCTATTCTCGCTGGCGACATATTACTTGTGGGTCTATTCGCCAATAGTAGGAAGGTGACTTTTTGGCGCACAGTGTGTTTAGCCTCGTCAGTTGCGTGGGTTCTTACTAGCATGGCTTCAAGCACAGCGATAAATCCAGCTGCTTTAGCATCTGCCGTACTGGTTTCAGACGGTTCATTTTAACTCGTACCGGACGCAATTATTTTAAATTTGACGAAAGTATGTGGTTTGTCTTTCAGAAAGTCCTGGTCCTTCACAGACTTCAGTTGGCAAAATCGTTTGGTCGCTAGCACAACTGAATTGCCGGGGAGGAATTCCGCAGACACCGAAGAAGACACCCTCACACTGCTCATTGCCATGTTCCCTCCCCTTCTTCGCGCCATTCTGGTGGCCATAACTCGATCGATCAGGCGTCTCTTATCTACCCCCAACTATACCACTGGGGAACCACACGCCAATGCTGACTTCGTAAGGAACAACCGCGCTAATCTTCATATCATCAAGCCTGATTACGTTTATTTCGAAGTAGTTGTTTTAATTTAGATATATTTTCCTTTCAGTTTGCGTCTACTTTCTCGTCTATCCTTTTCCCTCTGTCATCGCCTACTGAAGCCAACAAAAAGGATGACTGGCGCGTCCGTTTTCTCTATCACTTACTGACTCCCAAAAGGCCTGCCCGAAGCTTTGACTGTCTTATTGCCTCTGTCTTCGGTCGCGACTGCAAAGAGATGGAGAAAGTCAGTCCCGTAGAGGTTTGCCCCAATACTGAATCTATTTTCTTATTTTCATTTTAAATGTAGATTTCTGACTTCTCATGTCTTTCGAAGGTATCTGGTGGGGCGTTCTAAGTATCAGTGAGCCATGGGAAATACGTGCAAACCAGTTTTTGTAGTAGTGGGCCGCAGCTGTATGAAGACGTGAGCATTTCTCTTGATTCTAATCTTCGCTGGAGATTCGCTCATTTTTAAGAGACACTCGTTCTCAATCCTCACCCGGAGATTGTCGGCTTCATTAAGCGTACTGCGGTGTTATTGTTTTGAAGAAAGGAACCTTGAGGACTTATTTCCTTTGCAGATGACTGTTTTTCGATAACACAGTTAAAGTGGCTTACTACTGCCCCTCCTCTATCCGCTACAAATAACCCTCTGACCATTTGTAATGCGCGAATGGTGGAAATAAGGGTTACTTGGATGAGAAGGATAAAATATCGGCAATCAGTAGCACAGTTCACAAAAACGCAAATTTCGCGTTTCCGTGTTTGTATTGTTTGAGTTTATCGACGTGGACTCACAAGGCTGCCAGTGGTATATGGAGAGCTCCAATCAAAGTGATGGCGATATTTTATTTCCAAAGCTACCAATGTAATAAACTGACTTAAACTGACTTACTGTGCTTAATCGACTATTCGGTTTTCTGAGCAACCAACTCCGAAATTGACACAATCGCCTAGGCAATTCAACCATTGACCGTATGTGCTGAGACAGCGCAGACATTAAAGTCACCGATGTAATTAAATTTACAAGAGCTCTGCCAATAAAGGCTATTAATATGATTGTAAATGAATAAGAACACCACTCCAAATAAAGGATGATGGTTACTGGTCTGAGAGCCTGTCGACCCATTGTTACGGTTCAAATGCTAAAATCTCATGTATAATTACAAGCTAGTAACGCGGGCACTCCGAAAGTCAGATGCCGATAACTTTGCGGGTAGCGTGCCGATCCAGGGTGTGCCGGACCTTAAAGGCGCTTGTATAACTAGGCTATTATGAACGACACGTCAATCAAAGGGTGCTTGTGCTTGCAGTACTGGCCTCATTAATTCAACCTACTGAAGAGCCATAAGTAGAAATCATACATCAATATGGTCCGGGGTGTAATGATAAGCAAGCCTTAGGCAAACAGGTTTTCGTCGGCCGGAGGGCCTCTCGAGACGTTTTTTTAAAAATGCTTAACTGATGCGTCATGTAGCATGACGAACGTGTACTGCGCAATAATTTGCAGCTTAAGGTTGTCTCTTCTTTGTCCCTTGTCCAGCCTGTTCCGGACGAGCCTAAACAGACCAGATCGGTTGGCCTGCAGACCTCGGCTCCAACTGGTGAAATCTGCAAGGCCCTGTCTGCCCTGAGCCTTACCGCTCTGGCGGACAGCTCCAGCTCCTCTTCTCGTCCGTCCCTGGTTTCTGCACCCCTTGGTGACTCTACCAACCTCTCACAGACCAGTAAAACCACCAAGGCTTGCTCTGCAGAGGCTCAACAAATTCGCTCTAACATTGCGATAAACCTGGGTCGTTGGCGTCAGGCAGTAAGCAGTTCTCCTTCCACCCATTTTACTCCCTTTATCTAATAGAATGACATCATTTTTTTGCTGGACGGTTTCTGGAGACATTTTGCATTGGCAGAGGGGCGCTCAGCGATCGTTCTTACGGAACTCACTCGTTCCGTTGTGCCTTATGGGCTCTCTCTCTCTCTCTCTCTCTCTCTCGAGCCCAACCGGCAGCCGCACAGCGGCGCATGATATAGGTAGAATGGCATTACCGGCAAAGACGGGAGACTGGAATGGCCACTTTCGACTTATTAGCCATCATCAGCCAGCCATGCCCAATCCCGAAATGTGAAACACTTGGAGTTCGATCTCGTGACCTGTTGGTTCGAAGCCCAACACCTAGTCGCTGAGCCACGGGCTCGTTTTCTGCATATCGGATGACCCTTAACAGCGGTTTCTGTTGGACTTGGGCGATCCCCCTTATGTGCAGGACAGTTTTACCTGAACGGTAACTTATAGAGGAGTCTAGTACTGTGATATTGTTTAGCATGACTCGGTGGCACACTCCTACATGCGATTTTTGCTGTCTGATTGCGAACTTTCATGAAATTGAAGAAGACGAGGGGCATAGATTATGTTCTGGTTCGTACGAGTGCCCATCGATGACTGTTGGTAAGTTGACTTGGACGAGGTGGCATAAATTGCCCTCAAGCATGTCCTACAGTTATATTAGTCAACGTAACTGTGCGTTTTTTTCACTGCTGAATTCTGCTAACCTGCCATACCCTGCTTTCAATCACTTTTATTTCCTTCAGCTCACTCTTATCCACTTATTGATCCCATGTCCGGCTGCATGCTAGAAATTCCAGGTGTCTGGTCTCCAAAGCAGACTTTTTTTGCCCAAGAGCTTTGTTTCCGCAGTCGTTATTTGAACTTCATGTTCCCTTGTAAGTAGCCTATCAGCACAGACGGTTTTTGTCTTAACCAATATGCCACCATTTAGAACTATATTTAAAAACGCTGATATGGAAAGAACGACCTGCGTGGGTTTTAAACTACTACCTATAAATTACATTAGAATGCCGGACTACTACGCTGAAGGACCTTTCACAGATACTTAGATCTTGCAACAAGGTGACCGAATAATTAAGCTTCCCTACAACTTTGGGACAAAATCCACGAGTCATAAAAGATTGAAATACTCTCAAGCGAACAGAAATGCTCAAGTGAACTAAATAGGAATGTTTTTATTGACAGCAGCTAGACAAACGGCCATGATTGACCCCAACACTTATTTAAAAGTCCGTGAAATATGGAGCATTGTAGTTTTGCTTTTTTACTACTTGTGCTTGGTGCGGCTTTAAACATACCTGATCTAGCTGGCGTCGATGATGTCACGTATTGTGCCTCTCCCGTGTGAAGATTTCCGGGAGCGGATCTACATACCTCGACCCGTTCTCTTCTCCATCGACGGAGACAGAATACCGAAGTTCCAAGAACCACTTCCATCTCCTGACGAACCCCATTGAACCTGGTCTTAAGTTGGCCTTCTCTTTGACATCTCCAGACGGACATCGATGCCGGATCAAGGGCAGTACAAATGAGCTCTTGAGGCGGACGATGGGGAACGTGCCCAAACCATGTCAGTCGCCTTTCTTGGATCGCCTGAAACATCCTCGTGATATTGTCGGAGCGAGTGCGGACTGTCTCACCTGAGACAAAGTCGGTGTACTTCACTCACAGGATGGTCCTCAGATAGCATTAGTCAAATACCTCCAGTATTCGCTCATCTTCCACCCACAAAGTCCAGCATTCATAACGGTAGAAGAGGACTGACCGGACGGAAGCACGCTACAGGCGGACCTTTGTGGCTATAGAGATGTCGCGTCTGGTCCGTGAACACTTCTTAAGGACTGAAAACCCAGTGAGCAGCTTCGATTCTGGAGGCAGTGTCGCCCAAACTCTGTCCATTAAAAGCAGCCTCGTCCCGAGGTATTTGAAAATGTCTACTTCAATTTGACAGCCATCAGTCCCGAGGGGCGCCTTGTCCTGGTCAGGGATGCAGCCCGAAACAATTTGCTTTTCACACCGTTAATGGACCAACCTACCTGTGACACCACGGACCGCAAATCACCAAAATTTGGGGTTGGCAAGGCGATATCGTCGGCGTAGTCTAGATCAGTCGGCTGGCGTCCGGGTGCGACTTCCACACCTTCAAAACCGTCAGGTCCCTTACGGGAATCCAATCCATGGCGCAATTTTGATC